GTAGTAGCTTAAGGCATGATGCAGATTGCTATTGAAGCCAGGCATGAACTTGTATCAGAAGTGATTGCTTTTGATGTTGTGAGATAGTGGCGAGTTATGTACTATGCTCTCTTAGAGTTTTTTTTTTTTGGATATGGGAGTGTTTAGATTTTCTTAACCCCCCTTTATTTTTGTTAAGTTTTTTATTATCAATTGCAAATATTTAGGTTGTTTTATCAGCTGTTCTAAAGTGCATATTTCCCTTTCAACTTTTCAGGTGACTGACAGCAGTGGTTGTAAGACGTGTTGTAAAGTCTCATCATGGACATCGATCTTAGGTTACCTTCTGGTGATCATGATAAGGAAGTTGAAGAACCAAATGATGTCAATAATATGTTGAGTGAAGTCAAGCTGCACAATGGAGATGTAGAGATTGGAAATGTTGTTGATGTTGCAGAGCAAGTACTTTCTATTGAAGGTGGGGATGTTAATTCTCCCACAACGTCAATGGGATTCAAAGAGGACATAAAACTTGAGCCACTTTCTGGTATGGAATTTGAATCACATGGAGCGGCATATTCATTTTATCAAGAATATGCTCGATCTATGGGATTCAATACTGCAATACAGAACAGCCGCCGTTCAAAAACATCGAGGGAGTTCATTGATGCAAAATTTGCTTGTTCTAGGTATGGGACAAAGAGAGAGTATGACAAGTCCTTTAACCGACCACGTTCCAGACAAACCAAGCAAGACCCAGAAAATGGAACGGGCCGACGATCGTGTTCAAAAACCGACTGCAAGGCAAGCATGCATGTGAAGAGAAGGTCAGATGGAAAATGGGTTATCCATAGTTTCGTGAAGGAGCATAATCATGAGCTTTTACCTGCCCAAGCTGTCAGTGAACAAACTAGAAAGATGTATGCTGCAATGGCTCGACAGTTTGCAGAATATAAAAATGTTGTAGGTCTCAAGAATGACCCTAAAAATCCGTTTGACAAGGGCCGGAATTTGGGACTTGAAGTCGGGGAGACCAAAATTTTGCTTGATTTTTTTACTCAGATGCAGAATATGAATTCCAACTTTTTTTATGCCGTAGATTTGGGTGAAGATCAACGTTTGAAGAACTTGTTTTGGGCTGATGCCAAAAGTAGGCATGACTACAGTAATTTCTCTGATGTTGTAAATTTTGATACTACATATGTTAGAAACAAGTATAAGATGCCTCTTGCTCTTTTTGTCGGAGTGAACCAACACTATCAGTTCATGTTGCTTGGATGCACCCTGATATCAGATGAAAGTGCAGCTACTTATTCTTGGTTAATGCAGACTTGGCTGAGAGCAATGGGTGGACAGGCCCCAAAGGTTATAATCACTGACCAAGATAAAGCGATGAAGCAAGTCATTTCAGAGGTCTTTCCAAATGCTCACCATTGCTTTTGCTTGTGGAACATTCTGGGGAAGGTTTCTGAAAACCTGGGGAATGTGATAAAACAAAACGGAAACTTTATGGCGAAATTTGATAAATGCATCTTCAGGTCATGGACAGAAAATGAGTTTGGAAAAAGGTGGTGGAAAATTCTTGATAGATTTGAACTCAGGGAGAATGAGTGGATGCAATCACTGTATGAAGACCGTGAGCAATGGGTGCCAATCTACATGAGAGGTGCCTTTTTGGCTGGGATGTCTACAGTTCTGCGTTCTGAGAGCATAAACTCTTACTTTGATAAGTATGTGCATAAGAAAACAACTGTGCAGGAATTCGTTAGACAGTATGGATCGATTCTCCAAGATAGGTATGAGGAAGAAGCCAAAGCAGATTCTGATACCTGGAACAAGCAACCTACGTTGAAATCTCCCTCACCTTTGGAGAAGAGTGTTTCAGGGATGTACACTCATGCAGTGTTCAAGAAATTCCAAGTTGAGGTCTTAGGAGTAGTTGCTTGTCATCCCAAAATGGAAAGCCAAGATGAGACAAGCATTAGTTTTAGAGTTCAGGATTTGGAAAAGGAGCAAGATTTCACTGTTCTGTGGAATCAAACAGGGTTGGAGGTCTCATGTATATGCCGACTGTATGAATACAAGGGTTATCTTTGTCGGCATGCACTGGTTGTTCTTCAAATGTGTCAACAATCTGCCATCCCATCACAATATATTTTGAAAAGGTGGACAAAAGATGCAAAGAGCAGACATCTTTCAGGGGAAGAATGTGAACAGGTACAATCTAGGGTGCAAAGGTACAATGACTTGTGCCAACGAGCTCTGAAATTGAGTGAAGAGGCTTCATTATCTCAAGAGAGTTACAATGTGGCCTTTCGTGCTCTGGAAGAAGCTTTTGGAAACTGCATCAGCATGAATAATTCTAACAAGAATCTTGTGGAAGCTGGTACATCTGCCACTCAAGGTCTCCTCTGTATTGAAGATGATAACCAGAATAGGAGTGTGACCAAGACGAATAAGAAAAAGAATCAAACCAAGAAAAGAAAGGTTGGTCAAAAACGAATGTGAATGCTCTGTTCTTATGTTCTAATACTATTCGTCATAAATGACCTCCTCCAGAACTGCAGGTGAATTCTGAGCAGGTGATTACGACTGTTGGGCCACAAGATAGCTTGCAACAAATGGTTTGTCTTCTTATACTTTGCCAAACAACCCAAAAAGAAAGGAAAAAGTTTGTATTGACGTGGCACATTAAGTTCTACTACAGCTGAAACTTGATATTTGTTGACTAAATTTTTTGAAAATACGATAAGAAAAGGCCAATGACTTTCATATTTGTGGTTGGCCTTCTATGAAAAATGGCATGAATCTGTTATGGTTATGTTGTTTCTCATTTAGTATGCAAGTGAATGCACTAGTCAATTTGATTTAAGGGCTGATGAGTATCTGTAACTCGATTCGATTTTCTAGGACAAATTAAGCTCGAGAGCAGTAGCCCTAGAAGGTTATTATGGAACACAACAGGGTGTGCCAGGAATGGTATGTTTGCTAGTGAATTAGGTCATATGCTCATGACAAGACGGTGGAATGATTTTCTTACCCCACTCATTTTGAGCTATTTGTTTTTGCAGGTGCAACTAAACTTGATGGCTCCAACACGTGATAATTACTACAGCAATCAGCAGACCATCCAGGGCCTGGTATGCCATCTAAATTGTTGTGTGAATGCTTGATGTATGACTGGTCTTGTCCAGTTATTAATCATCGTATATGATATGACTATGGAAATCTGGATCTCATATCTTCAGGGACAGTTAAACTCAATAGCACCAAGTCATGATGGTTATTACGGCACTCAGCAAAGCATGCATGGGCTGGTATTGTTTCTATTCCTGCAGCCAGTAATTTCTTTGTACTACGGTCTGCAAATGGTGATATCTTTGCACTGTTTTTACCACATGCAGGGACAGATGGATTTCTTTCGCCCACCAGCTGGATTCACTTATGGCATCAGGGTCAGTTTGCTAGTCTTGATTTTCTGATTATGCCATTTTCGTTTTGCCAAAACTTCTCAAAACGGTTTTCCATGTAACAGGACGACCCCAATGTAAGAACAGCACAACTACACGATGATGGATCCAGGCATGCATGAGCAGCAACTTTCTCACTGTAAGGTTCACATTTCGAAAAGTTTCTGGAATCACGTGGCAATTAAAGTATTAACAGCAATTTTCATTTCTTGGCAGGCGAGGAAGAACGAATCTCCCTTTTATTATGCAGCATGAAATGGTCACTCCGCTGAAGCTAAAATCTCTGTAAAGAATGAAAGCAATCATGCATCAAAGATGGCAGGGTTAAATTTAGGAAACTTACTCTTCTAGTGCTTGTAAAACAAGAGAGAGCAGGATGCTTTCATCTTCACCGCATATTTACCACAGTAGACAGTCGAACAAATTCTTATAGGGGTAGAATCTCCCTTGTAAATCTTTATTCGTATTTACCCACTATATCAGTGATTTGTCTTTAGCCTAAAATATCTGATCAGATAATATCAGTACTTATTCCCCCAGTAGATCACTATTTACTCTTGCCCCTGCGTCTGTCTACCATGGATCAATGTCAGTCAACTGTTGGAAAAACGATTAAAAAACAAAGCTTTTCGTTAAATTCTTTTTCTTACCTCATGAAGTATTCCTTTTCATAGTTCCCTGTTAAGCCAACATAAACCTAATTAAGTTTTCTGATAGGGGTATGATTATTTTTATTTTTATTTTTGCTAGATACCTTTAGCCTCCCTTAATCAATCTTGGGATCAAAATATTAAAGAGTGATTCCTTTTGAGGGGATATTAAAAGGTAAATTATCAAAGTCATTTTCATAATCATTCAAGAGATAAAGCTTGACTTATCTAAGATCTCAAATCTTATTAGAAAGCGAATCTTAAGCCTATAAGATATGGGATCTGACTAGGAAGAAGAATCTTAAATCTTAAAAAAAAAAAAAACAATTTGTTTAATATCTAATTACAAAAGAAAGTGGATCAAAATGCTTTAGGATGTTTAAACGGCAATTATCAGTATTTATTTTTTTTATTTTATTTGAAACCAAATAATTTTTTTTTAAAGAAAACCAACGGGCTGAGAATAAAACTTTAACTTGAACCAACTCGGTTTTTAACCGGTCAGGACAAGTCGAATTTCCTTTATTTTTATTGTTTTTTTCCAATTAAGACCGGCACGGGTCCTGGATGGACTGGGTGCTGATTGACCTATCGAGCCCGGTCCGGGTGCTATACCTGGAATTTCAATTCTTTTATTTTTTTTAAACAACACGCGCCAAGCGTGTGGCACACAAAGGAAGCAAAAAACAAAGCGGTTAAAATTCTCAATCGACGACATCGAATTTGCATAAACAACAATAAACGCGCGGCGAAGAAACAGAGATGGAAGCAAGCGAGGGAGTGAAATAAAAGCCCTTATTTTTATTTTTATTTTATAAGATTTTTCTACAACCGAGCGAGTGAGACTCAGCGAGTGAGTGTGGAGAAGAGAAGAAAGAAAAACCCTAATTTTTATTTTTTCCAATTCAGACGCGCCAATTCTCTCACTCGCGACTTTATTTTCCGGATCTTTCTCTCTTTATCCCTCTCAAGGTCTCTCTCTTTCTCTCTTCTTTAATTTTGGTGTATTAATTGTTTTTATAGCCGGTTTGGTTGCTGAGAAAACGTGGGAAAGTGGAAGTGGGAATTTGTGTTTCCTTTATTTTTCTTGGTAACCAAGCATGGGATTGGAAGGAGCTGAAATGCTTTAGTGGGGTGTGATTTTTTTTTCGAATTTGAATCGTTAGAGAATGAAAAAAAGCGAGGTGGTTTTAGTATTTTTGGTAACCCTAATTAACGCCCTGAATGAAAACTGAAGTTTGAAAATTTTCACAGGATCCAATCAGGATATAGAAAAGGGATAAGAATGATTTAACGGGTTGTATTGGTATAGAATTGAAAAACGGAAGCTTTTTTTTTTTTAAATTATTCCTGGTAACCTTAATTAGTGTCCCGAATGAAAAATGAAGTTCGAAAATTTTCTCAGAATCCAAGCAGGAGATGGAGAAGCAGTAAGAATGCTATAATGGGTTGTTTTTTTTATACCGATTTTATTGAATTTCAGTGGGAAAATGGTAGCTTTATCATTTTTAGTAACATTTGTAATACGTTAATGTGGATTGTCTGTTGTTTGAAACTCATGTAATTTATGTATGGAAACTTTCTTTCATGTGTTCAGGTGCGTTTTTTCACGTGCATGGTAACTTGTTGCAATTTTTTCCTAAACGGGAATGCGTTTTTATGATGACGGAGAGGAATCATAAAATGATTGATGATATGATCGATCTTCAAGATAATGTTCCTGCTGATGATGTAGTGGGTGGAAGTATTGTTGGTGTGGTGGATGTGATGCACAGTAGAGAAGTTGCGGTTGTTGATTCTCCCAAAAGGGCTGTAGCTATGTTTGAAGGGGATGTAAACTATGAGCTATGTGATGGTATTGAATTTGGATCACATGAGGAAGCATATTCGTTTTATCAGGAATATGCAAAATCTATGGGGTTCACCACTTCGATAAAGAATAGTAGGCGGTCAAAGAAATCAAAGGAGTTTATTGATGCTAAATTTGCTTGTTCTAGATATGGAGTTACACCAGAGTCTGATAGTGGTAATAGTCGGCGATCAACTGTGAAGAAGACTGATTGCAAAGCCAGTATGCATGTGAAGAGAAGGGCTGATGGCAAGTGGATAATTCATGAATTTGTCAAGGAGCATAATCATGAGCTCTTACCTGCTCTAGCGTATCATTTTCGAATTCACAGGAATGTGAAATTAGCTGAAAAGAACAACATTGACATATTGCATGCTGTCAGTGAACGAACAAGAAAGATGTATGTTGAGATGTCTCGACAGTCAGGTGGGTATCAAAATTTTGGGTTAGTAAAGAGCGAGATGAATATGCAGTTTGAAAAAGGCCGGCATTTGGCCCTTGATGAGGGTGATGCACAAGTAGTGCTGGAATATTTTAAGCATGTCAAGAAGGAGAATGCAAACTTCTTCTATGCAATAGATTTGAATGAAGAGCAGCGTCTGAGAAATTTGTTCTGGGTTGATGCAAAAAGCAGGGCAGATTATATTAGCTTTAATGATGCTGTTTGTTTCGAAACCTTCTATGTAAAATACCACGAGAAATTGCCATTTGCCCCTTTTGTTGGGGTGAATCATCACAGTCAGCCAATCTTACTCGGATGCGCATTTATTGCAGATGAGTCTAGATCAACATTTGTTTGGTTAATGAAAACATGGCTTAGAGCAATGGGTGGGCAAGCACCTGAAGTTATAGTCACTGACATGGACAAAACCTTGAAGGCGGCCATTGAAGAAGTCTTCCCAAAAACCCGTCACTGCTTTTCTCTTTGGCATATATTAGAAAGATTGCCTGAAACTCTCTCTCATGTGATTAAACAACATGAGAATTTTTTGCCAAAATTCAACAAGTGCATTTTCAAATCATGGACAGATGATCGGTTTGATATGAGGTGGTGGAAAATGGTCACCCGGTTCGAACTTCAAGATGATGAATGGATTCAGTCATTGTATGAAGATCGTAAAAAGTGGGTGCCTACCTACGTGGGGGATACTTTTCTAGCCGGAACTTCTGCTACACAGCGTTCTGAAAGTATGAGTGCATTCTTTGATAAATACATTCATAGGAAAATCACCATGAAAGAGTTCATGAAACAATATGGAACAATTCTACAAAATAGGTATGAGGATGAGTCCGTTGCAGATTTTGATACTTCCCACAAACAGCCTGCCTTAAAATCTCCTTCTCCTTGGGAAAAACAAATGTCAATGGTTTATACTCATGCAATATTCAAGAAATTTCAAGTTGAGGTTTTAGGTGTAGTTGGCTGCCATCCTAAAAAGGAAAGTGAAGATGGAACATTGGTGACGTTTCGGGTTCAAGACTGTGAAAAAGATGAACATTTTTTGGTCACATGGAACCAAACAAATTCAGAGGTGTGCTGTTTCTGCCATTCGTTTGAATATAAAGGTTTTCTTTGTAGGCATGCATTGATTGTTCTCCAAATTTGTGGCCTTTCAAGCATACCACCTCATTATATTCTGAAGAGGTGGACAAAAGAGGCAAAGAGTAGGCAACCAATAGCTGTAGGAACAGAACGGGCACAAACTAGGGTGCAGCGCTACAATGATTTATGCAAATTGGCCATTGAAATGAGCGAAGAAGGATCATTATCTGAAGAGAGTTACAATATTGTTCTCCATACACTAGTAGAAGCTCTGAAGAATTGTGTGAATGTGAATAACCGCAATAACAGTGTAGCAGAATCTAGTACCTATACTCTGGCTCATCGTGAAGCAGAAGAAGAAAACCAGGGAAGCCTTGTTACCAAATCAAGTAAAAAGAAGAACCCAGTCAGGAAAAGAAAGGTTAGTTCTGGAATTAGAATCCAACCAGGTGGAAGTGCCTATGTTTTATTGTCTAATTATGTGCAAAAGAAAAAGAAAAGAAATGATCAATGCCTGTTTATGGTTCAGGTACAATCAGATCCAGACGTCATGCTTGTTGAAGCACCAGATAGCTTGCAGCAAATGGTTTGGCCTTTGTTCTATTCACTTCCAGTAATCATGCAATCATTATGTTATATTGGTAATAGTTTGCATTGGATTGCCACAAGATTATGGCTGTAAAATTTGTTAAATGGATCCGCTTTGTGTTAAGAGAACTCATTCTTTCTGTTTTATTATTATTGAACTTCAATAGGATGGTGTTGACTAGGTTGTGGGATTCTGCAATCGACTTGGACAATAGAGTTTTTGAAATTGGGTTTTGTCTCTGCAGGAAAATCTAAGCTCGGAAGGTATTAACCTTGGCGGATATTATGGTACCCAGCAGAACGTGCAAGGACTGGTGAGCACAGTTTGTAGTGTTTTGGGCCTTTTTATCCAAGAGACAATATACAATTGTATAAAAAGAATTGTAATTTGCCTGAACCTGGTGCTGAGTGCAGGTACAGTTAAACTTAATGGAGCCGCCTCATGATGGTTACTATGTCAATCAACAGAGCATGCAGGGTCTGGTAAGTCATGGTGGATTTTGACCATGTACATATTCAACGAAAGCACTTCTGTGAACGAGTTACGATACCTTGAATTGTGTTTGTATTTCTAGGGGCAGCTGAATTCCATAGCACCCAGTCATGATGGTTTTTTTGGGGCTCAGCAAAGCTTGCATGGGCTGGTATAGTATTTTATAACAAAATACATTTTCAAAGAACTTTTGTTTCAGAAGCAGCAGTTACCTAATTACATATTTTCATGTAGGGGCAATACGACTTTCGGCCTCCAACTGGTTTCAGTTATAGCATGCAGGTGAGTTTTGGAGGACATGGTATCAATATTTGTTATCCTCTACGCATGGAACCTATTAATGAGTATAAATTTACTAGGCCGTGTCTTGTAGTTGCAGGATGACCCTCATTTGAGACCTTCACATATGCATGGCAGTGCTTCAAGACACGCATAAGGAAGTAGGATGTTTTCATATTGGCAGCTAGAATGACAGTTTTCCTCCTGAGATGGCTGACATCTTCCTTAGAGGTATATAACACTGATTGAAAAACTAACTCCAGGAATTGCGAACACCATTTTTATGAGCAGAAGTCATCGCTTTGATAGTTCAGAAGCTAATCCCCAAAATGAAGGCAGAAGACATCCAGGATTTTTTATCCAGCAGTTTATCTGGAACCCGGTCTTAATTTATGCCACACCAAGTCACTAACAGCTATGGTAGCACAATTTATTGGTAGAGCAATGACTGATTACGATATGTGCATGATTACGACTACAGGCACCACATCTGCCTAAGCTAATTGGAGACTCAAAGAGACTGTCCTTCTCGAAGAGTAGATTCTCCTTGTGGTGAGATGAAAAAGATGCCTCGTTGCTGGAGCATACAAGGAATGTTCTTCTTCATGTCCATAGTAGATTGTGTAGATCTGTTGTTATTAACCAATCCCTCCTGTCAACCCTTTCCTGGTATTAGTAGATGTGGAAAATACCTAACTTCATGTAGAAGCACAACAATTCTCAGGATGAGTAGTTTATTCAAATCAGATCGAGCTCTTCTCCTGTAAGCCCCCGCATGACCAGTCATGTAACAGGAGGAATTGGTCCTTGTAAAACATGTATTTGTTGATTATGACACCTTTCTCAACACTTTACAATTTATTTATTTATTTGTTGTTTTGAATGTTGCATATTTTTTTCCTGTTTATTAAGTTTGAAAAAGGAAAATATTGAAGATTAAAATATCATGTACTAATCCTAGAAAAATATAATTCTTCAATTCTTCAAATTCCTTTTTTAAATAATAAAATATACATAAAATTATTAAATAATAATTTCGTTAATAATAAAATGAAATGAAATGAAATGTTTATTTTTTAAAATATTAAAAAATGTATTACATTTAAACAAGGAAAAAAAATTAGATATTGAAAAACAATTGAAGATTAGAATCTCCTATAGTAGTCTTAGGAAACTATAATTCTTCAATTTGTTTTAGATATTTAATAATCATTAAATTTAACAATTTAATAAAAATAATTTGGTTAATAATAAAAATAAAAGGCACTTTTTCCCTTTTTTAAAAAATTAAAAATTAAAAATTCAACAAAAATAAGATTAGAATACCAAATACTAATTCAAGAAAGATAATTCTTTATTTTTTAAAATAAATTATATAGAGTTCTATTCTATATTAATTTAAAATTGGACTACTATGTTAATATATAAATTATTATAAATATATTTTTCAATTTATCTCAATTTTATTTTGATGTTTGCTCTCAACAAAATGGAGGTGTAGCGCGACTGACTTCCTTCTTTCAACTGATAATTGCCGTTTAAACATCCTAAAGCATTTTGATCGACTTTCTTTTGTAATTATATATTAAACAAATTGTTTTTTTTTTTTTAAGATTTAAGAGTGTTCTTCCTAGTCAGATCCCATATCTTATATGCTGAAGATTCCCAGTCAAGCTTTATCTCTTGAATAATTATGAAAATGTCTTCGATAGTTTACTTCTTAATATCCCCTCAAGAGGAATCATCACTCTTCAATATTTTGATCCCAGGAGTGATCAAGGGAGGCCCAAAGACAAGGCTACAGAAGGCTAGTAATTGCCGATTTATTGCTGAAGAGATCGCCGATTAACTATTGACTATTTCAAAATTGATCGCCACTGGGTTGGGGAGCTTTCCTCAGTTTCGTGATCAAATGAAGCACTTAGTCACTCTTCTCAAAGGTATTTTTACTTCGTATTTTCTCACATGGACAATATTTTTTTTATGAATCTAATCCATTCATCAGTCAAATGGCCTGAATTCTTGATGCAAAAAGAAAATGAAAAGGAATACCGTTTACATTTGAGGTTTTAGCAATGTGAAAACTCATCATCGCAGCGCTTCTCTGTTGAATTTTACAAGCAATCAACATGGATGTAAATGTTGTTTTAGCTAACCATATTATCCACAGAACCAAACAAATTAACAGGCTGATGAGATGCTGGACAACAAGTTAGAATGGATTCCACGAATGAAAGGGGATCTTCTCAAGGTTATCGATACAAGTTCGAGTTCGAAATGGATACATGGAGGGCTCGAGTGAAGGTGATATGGAAAGACTTTCCAAGGCATCAGCAGTTATTTTCAATACCTATGATTCCTTGGAGGGCGATGACTTGAGTAGCCTGTCATCTATTTTTCGTCGGGTATACACCATTGGTCCTACTCAATTGCTTCTGAACCAAATCTCTAATGATTTCTATGAGACTGTTGATGGGAATTTGTGGGATGCAGAGCTTGAATGCATTAAGTGGGTTGATTCGAAAGAGCCGAATTCAGTGATTTATGTAAGTTTCGGTAGTTCGACAATAACAACCACAGAGCAGCTTTGAGCTTGCATGCATGGGGACTTGCTGCTAGTAAGCACAACTTTTGTGGATAACTATGCCAGATTTGATCAAAGGAGACCCCGCGATTCTCCCACAGGAGAAAGCCCTTAACCATCCATCAGTAGGAGGATTCCTAACACGTTGTGGGTGGAACTCATTGATTGAAAGCATATCTGCTGGACTGCCGATGATTTGTTGGCTAAGCGAATATTCTTTGGGGACCAATTTGCAAACTCTAGAAAGAGTTGCAAAGAGTGGGGAATTGGCTTGGAGTTGAGTGATGACTTCAAAAGGGACGAAGTAGAGAGTTTTTTTTTAGATTAATGTGAATATTCGAATCAGTATGTGTATATTATAATTAATTTTATAAATTCTAGAAAAATAAAGAGTCTTCTTCATGATGTTTAGATGAGAGAGAAGGGCAGGAAAAGGGTCTTGGAATGGAAGAAAACGGCAGAAGAAGCCACAAGTTTTGATAGTTCATAATCCTTGAACTTAAACAATTTGGTCAATCAAGTCCTTTTATCAAAAAGTTGGTTTTGCTTCTCTATTGATTTATAACTTTTTTCACTAACCTCGTGCTTAAATTTTAGTAATTCTCGTTAATTTTCTATTCCAAGTGTTTTAATAGTGTCTTGCAATGCACATCGTAAGGATTATTAAAGAATAAAATGTAATTCTTGTTCGTTTGCCTCCTCATTCTCTCGGCCTCTCCAATCTCTGTCTGCTCTTCTCATAATTAAAGTAAATTACGAAATCTCATCCAGGTAGAAGAACCCACAAATCATTAGTTCTCCTTTTCTAATCATAAAGTATGAATGTCTTATGCTTTATTATTAAACCCCACCTGGTTTTTAAAATGCTTAGAGAAAAGTTAATTTATAATCCGATATTTTTTTTTATAAAAAAACGATGTCTTAATTTTTTTAAATTAAAATAAAATTGTTTTTGTTTGTATAAAAGGTTAGTCCTCCGTTTCCTGGAATATTCCCTACTCCAATCAACCCTCCGAACCTGAATAGAGTGCTGTTTTCGAATCTGGGGTTTTTGGATTTTGAGGGAAATTAACTCCAGGAGGGAAAGATGGGCTCAGAAAAGTTTGTGAGGGTATTTGATAATTTTATTTCTTATTTCTTGCTCAAATCTTCATACATTTTGGCTATTTATAGCCTTAATTTCAGTGGAGCTTAATAAGAGTTTTAATAGATGGAAAATAATTTATAAAAATAATCCTAATATAATCTAAGATAGTCAACACGAATCAGAACTCAGAATTTTGCCATGCTGATGAGCTGCTATGCAAAGCTGTTTCTGTCTCATATAAAGCTTTTTAATTCTGGACTTTTCTTATCCTAATGCTTTTTGGATTTCTCCTCTTTCCTCTTTTCTTCAGTCCAGTTGCTGCTTGGAAATTGCCTCTTCTAGCTGACCCACTGCTGCTTGGAAGTCCCGGATTGTTCCGCCGACTCTGCCCATTCTTTGTTTTGTTTTCAAGTAAAAAAAAAATTATTTATTTATAAATATTGATTTATTGAAATCATTCTAACTTTGTCATATAGTGCACAACATATAATTGCTAACTAGATGCCATGATTGTGTGATGTCGTGAGCTTGTGGTACATTGTATGTTGTTGTGAGTTTGTAAAAAGAATTATAAAAAAAATTATATAGAGTATAACAGTTACAATTTATAAATTAATTTAATATTAAAAAAATAAAATTAATAACGATAATTTAAAAAAATAAAAAAAAATAAAAGAGAAAAAAATCAAATAGAAAAACACTATAGCAATCTATAGTGTTTCATGAGAAATTATAAAATTATAATTCTCAACCAGTTCAATATTAAAAATAATAAAATTGATAAAAAAAAAATTAAAAAATCATAACAAAAAAGCATGTAGGGGAATATTGTAGCAATCCACAATATTTTAAAGAAAAAAACTATAAAATTAAATTTTCACGCAGCTGAATATGAAAAACACAAAATCAACAAAGATAATTCTAAAAACAATCATAAAAAAAAAAAAAATCATATGTGGAAACACCATAGCAATCCACAGTGTTTTATATGAAAAAACTAGAAAGCTATTAAAAAAATAAAATTGAAAAAAATAATTCTGAAAAAAAAAAACAATGTAAAAAAATGAAAAGAAGAAGAAGAAAATTTTGGAACAAAAAGAAAAAAAAAGGAAACAAAACACTTGGGGAAAGTTAAAGCTAGCTCAATATTAAAATTATTTAGGAAAATATTGTAGGGAATATATATTTATATATATATAAAATCATGTGGGGAAACACTATAACAATTAGGGGTGGGAAAAAAAAACTAAAAAACCGATTAAACTGAAAAAACAAAAAAAAACAAACAGAACTGAAAAAACCGATTAAAATTTTGAAAAAACCAGCCGGTTTGGTTTAATTTTTGTTTTGTAAGAAAAAAAAACAAAATTAAACCAAACCAAACCTGAACCAAAAAACTGAAAAAAAAAACAGAGTCAAACTAGTTTGAACAGGTTTTTATCCTTAAAAAACCAAACCAAACCAAAATTGATTGATTTGAACCAATTTTAGTTTTTTTAAAAAATTTAGTTTGGTTATTTTTTATAAAAACTGAACTGAACAGAAAATGATCACCCTTAATAGCAATCAATGGTGTTTTAAAAAAAACTACAAAGCTAAATTCTCAATAAGTTTAATATGAAAAAAAATAATCATTAAAAAAACTATGTGGGGAAACACTGTAGTGATTCACGGTGTTTTAAAGAAGAAGAAAAACTAAATTCTCAACCATCTCAATAGCAAAAAAAATAAAATTAACAAAAGTAATTCAAAAAAAAAACATAAAAGAAAGAAAATAATTAAAAAAAGATAATTTTAGAATAAATAAAAAGAAAACATGTAGGGAAAGTTAAAGTTAAATTTTCAATTAGCTCAATATTAAAAAAATAAATTTGACAAAGATAATTTAAAAAAACCATATAGGAAAACACTATAGCAAAACAAACACCATGTGGGAGAAACACAGTAGCAATCTGTAATATTTTTTATAAAACTACAAAGCTAAATTCTTAACTAACTCAGTATGAAAAAAATAAAATTAACAAAGATCAATTTGAAAAGAAAAGGAAGAAATAAATCATAAAAAGAAAGAAAAAAAAAACCATACAAGAAAATATTATAGCAATTCATAATATTTTAAAGAAAAACAACTACATAACTAAATTCTGAATCAGTTTAATATTTAAAAACATTGGCTAAGATAATTTTGAAAAAAAATGAAAAAAAGAAG